AAGCTATGTAAAGCAGTTCATCAGTGCTTAACTTTTTCTTATATACCTCTGTATATTGTGTTGAGGTCAAAGGTCAACATTGAGTGATGGCAGAGATCATAGGTTACTATGGGCTGGGTGTATGGGTGACACAGTGGATACCACACTGGTCTATCACTGCCCGACTATGGGCTGGGTTTATGGGTGACACAGTGGATATACCATACTGGTCTATCCTGCCTGACTATGGGCTGGGTGTATGGGTGACAATGGATATACCACACTGGTCTATCACTGCCTGACTATGGGGGACACAGTGGATACCACACTGGACTATCACTGCCTGACTATGGGCTGGGTGTATGGGTGACACAGTGGATACCACACTGGACTATCACTGCCTGACTATGGGCTGGGTGTATAGGTAACACAGTGGATACCACACTGGTCTATCACTGCCCGACTATGGGCTGGGTTTATGGGTGACACAGTGGATATACCATACTGGTCTATTACTGCCTCACTATGGGCTGGGTGTATGGGTGACACAGTGGATATACCATACTGGTCTATCCTGCCTGACTATGGGCTGGGTGTATGGGTGACAGAGTGGATACCACACTGGACTATCACTGCCTGACTATGGGGTGGGTGTATGGGCGACACAGTGGATATACCACACTGGTCTATCACTGCCTGACTAAGGGCTGGGTGTATGGGTGACACAGTGGATATACCATACTGGTCTATCACTGCCTCACTATGGGCTGGGTGTATGGGTGACACAGTGGATATACCACACTGGTCTATCACTGCTTGAACAAGGGCTGGGTGTATGGGTGACACAGTGGATATACCACACTGGTCTATCACTGCTTGAACAAGGGCTGGGTGTATGGGTGACACAGTGGATATACCACACTGGTATATCACTGCCTGACTATGGGGTGGGTGTATGGGCGACACAGTGGATATACCACACTGGTCTATCACTGCTTGAACAAGGGCTGGGTGTATGGGTGACACAGTGGATATACCACACTGGTCTAGGTGTATGGGTGACACAGTGTATACCACACTGGTCTATCACTGCCTGACTATGGGGAGGGTGTATGGGTGACACAGTGGATACCACACTGGTATATCACTGCCTGACTATGGGCTGGGTGTATGGGTCACACAGTGGATACCACACTGGTCTATCACTGCCCTACTATGGGCTGGGTTTATGGGTGACACAGTGGATACCCCACTGGTCTATCACTGTCTGACTATGGGCTGGCTGTATGGGCAACACAGTGTATGCTACACTGGTCTATCACTGCCTGACTATGGGCTGGGTTTATGGGTGACACAGTGGATATACCACACGGGTCTATCACTGCCTGACTATGGGCTTGTTTTAAGGGCGACACAGTGGATCCCACACTGGTCTATCACTGCCTGACTATGGGCTGGGTTTGTGGGTGACACAGTGGATACCACACTGGTCTATCACTTCCTGACTATGGGGTGGGTGTATGGGTTACACAGTGGATACCACACTGGTCTATCACTGCCCTACTATGGGCTGGGTTTATGGGTGACACAGTGGATATACCACACGGGTCTATCACTGCCTGACTATGGGCTTGTTTTAAGGGCGACACAGTGGATCCCACACTGGTCTATCACTGCCTGACTATGGGCTTGGTTTAAGGGCGACACAGTGGATACCACACTGGTCTATCACTGCCCTACTATGGGCTGGGTTTATGGGTGACACAGTGGATAACACACTGGTCTATCCCTGTCTGACTATGGGCTGGCTGTATGGGCAACACAGTGTATGCTACACTGGTCTATCACTGCCTGACTATGGGCTGGGTTTATGGGTGACACAGTGGATAGACCACACTGGTCTATCACTGCCTGACTATGGGCTGGGTATATGGAGTGGATACCACACTGGTCTATCACTGCCTGACTATGGGCTGGGTTTATGGGTGACACAGTGGATACCACACTGGTCTATCACTGTCTGACTATGGGCTGGCTGTATGGGCAACACAGTGGATGCCACACTGGTCTATCACTGCCTGACTATGGGCTGGGTATATGGGCTACACAGATACCACACTGGTCTATCACTGCCTGACTATGGGCTGGGTGTATGGGTGACACAGTGGATACCACACTGGTCTATCACTGCCCGACTATGGGCTGGGTTTATGGGTGACACAGTGGATAGACCACACTGGTCTATCACTGCCTGACTATGGGGTGGGAGTATGGGTGACACAGTGGATACAACACTGGTCTATCACTGCTTGACTGTGGGGTGGGTGTATGGGTGACAGGGGAGATACCACACTGGTCTATCACTGCCTGACTATGGGCTGGGGGTATGGGTGACACAGTGGATATACCATACTGGTCTATCACTGCCTCACTATGGGCTGGGTGTATGGGTGACACAGTGGATACCACACTGGTCTATCACTGCTTGACTGTGGGGTGGGTGTATGGGTGACAGTGGATATACCACACTGGTCTATCACTGCCTGACTATGGGGGACACAGTGGATACAACACTGGTCTATCACTGCTTGACTGTGGGGTGGGTGTATGGGTGACAGTGGGTATACCACACTGGTCTATCACTGCCTGACTATGGGTTGGGTGTATGGGTGACACAGTGGATACCACACTCGTCTATCACTGTCTGACTATGGGCTGGCTGTATGGGCAACACAGTGGATGCCACACTGGTCTATCACTGCCTGACTATGGGCTGGGGGTATGGGTGACACAGTGGATATACCATACTGGTCTATCACTGCCTGACTATGGGGGACACAGTGGATACCCCACTGGTCTATCACTGCCTGACTATGGGCTGGGTATATACTGGTATATCACTGCCTGACTATGGGCTGGGTGCATGGGTGACACAGTGGATACCACACTGGTCTATCACTGCCCGACTATGGGCTGGGTATATGGGTGACACAGTGGATATACCACACTGGTATATCACTGCCTGACTATGGGGTGGGTGTATGGGTGACAGTGGGTATACCACACTGGTCTATCACTGCCTGACTATTGGCTTGTTTTAAGGGCGACACAGTGGATACCACACTGGTCTATCACTGCCCGACTATGGGCTGGGTATATGGGTGACACAGTGGATATACCACACTGGTATATCACTGCATGACTATGGGCTGGGTGTATGGGTGACACAGTGGATATACCATACTGGTCTATCACTGCCTGACTATGGGGGACACAGTGGATACCCCACTGGTCTATCACTGCCTGACTATGGGGTGGGTGTATGGGTGACACAGGGGATACCACACTGGTCTATCACTGCTTGACTGTGGGGTGGGTGTATGGGTGACAGTGGATATCCCACACTGGTCTATCACTGCCTGACTATGGGCTGGGTATATGGGCTACACAGATACCACACTGGTCTATCACTGCCTGACTATGGGCTTGTTTTAAGGGCGACACAGTGGATACCACACTGGTCTATCACTGCCCGACTATGGGCTGGGTTTATGGGTGACACAGTGGATATACTATACTGGTCTATCACTGCCTCACTATGGGCTGGGTGGATACCACACTGGTCTATCACTGCCTGACTATGGGCTGGGTATATGGGTGACACAGTGGATATACCACACTGGTATATCACTGCCTGACTATGGGCTGGGTGTATGGGTGACACAGTGGATACCACACTGGTCTATCACTGTCTGACTATGGGCTGGCTGTATGGGCAACACAGTGGATGCCACACTGGTATATCACTGCCTGACTATGGGCTGGGTATATGGGCGACACAGATACCACATTGGTCTATCACTGCCTGACTATGGGCTGGGTGTATGGGTGACACAGTGGATATACCACACTGGTGTATCACTGCCTGACTATGGGGTTAACATTTTTTCCAGGCACTGGTGTTTCCTACCACCAAGAGCGATTTGTATCAGTTGATTCACAATTGCTGTAAAATAAGTAAAGTTTAATTTAATCAATATGAGCTATAAAGATAAAATTCTTATTATATCAGCCCTTGATCTTCTTTCAATGTCAGCATGGTGTGAGATAATGAAAATTTCATCAGCTTCTTGAAATTTCAACTTTTAAATTGACTTTGTTGCTGAGAAATTAAAAGCTATTAAATAAATCTATGTTGACATAAAAAGGAAACAAAGTTGACCTACATGCAACTTAGAGGTCACAGTGGTTAAACAAAAGCTGGAGTTCCCGTAGAAAAACCACCAACCTACAGCCAGTACGTATACCTGGAAGCTGCCCCACATAGGTCTAGAACCTGCAACCCAGTGGCCATGGTAGAGGGCTATAGTGGTAGCAGGATGCCAGATGCCTTAACCACTTGGCCACCGCGTCCCTCTTACACTAACTGTCAAAGTGGACAAAGCAGGCCCCTGGGGGCTGCTTGTTTGTAATTTAATTTGTTGATAAGGGATTTACTGAAAGCGCTTATAATTCCCTTAGAATTATTCATTCATGGGCATCAATATTAAAAAAGATAAAACCATAGAAATATCTAAGAAATTTCGATAGATCTTTGAAATTCACATACGCTCAACAAGACCAAATAACAATGGTGAGAGAAGTATGATGTGACACCATTATATTTACAAAGTGTGACACTTATTGTGGGCAAATAATGCTGGAATTCTTGACAAGTTAGATGAAGCTTAGCATCTTTATATAGATAAAGATTAAACAAATTGGTGCTCAGTTATATAGATAAACACGATGTGATATTTATATAGATAAATACACTGTGATATTTATACAGATATATTTCAACACTTTTTATAGGTAATTAAATGTGACATCTTCTTAGAGATGAGTTGATATTTACATTACTTTTACTGGAGTAAACAATACAACATGATTTGAGGTAGCAGCCAGTGATAGCCAACTTTGTGATGTCCTGAAGATGGGCGGATGTTTATACTGATTGTCATCTTTGTGTCGTTCTGTAGGAGGACGGAGGTTTGCTCGAACAATGGCCGAGACCGCCGCCGCTAACACACCCCAGCAGTCACCGGTCCCTAGCCGCAGGAACAGACGCATGGACAGCAACGAAAACCTCACTTCACGCTTCTGATGAGATGTGCTGGAAACTTTCCGTTGTTTTACTGATAAATTTTGAAGATCTGCTTCAATGTGAAAGTTCTGCAATCCGTCATTGTCTATTTTATATATTTTAGCTGGGATTGGACATCACCTGCATACTGTCCCTTACAAGTTATGTGTACTGTTTAGCACAAACAGAGGTATGGTGTCGTTGACCTTTACTGAAGTATCAGATAAAAAGACATGTGTATGTTGTTTGTAACCAAACCAGAATATCTGAAAAAAGAGATAGACATTTTTATTAGTCTGTGAAATGATAAACTTTGTATGAAATAAAAAATGTTTGATAATGATACAGAAAACAATATTTAGGGGTTGGATTTCCCCTCTGATTCGTACATTCCTTTGTTCAATTGATTATATGACTAGATAGTGTGTAGATCAATAGAAAATGTCAGTCTTCATTTCTCTGTATGAGCAATTTGTCTATAATAGACAGGTATTTCTATGCAACAGGATATATTTTGCAAAATGATGCTTCCAAATGAAATCTTCTCCTTATAAATGTGTTTTGAGCAAATAATTAAAACAATATATGATATCACCTCCTCCGATGTAGACCTGTATTTATACAGAGCAACATCAGTACACTTTGGATTGTTGAAGTTTGTCAATAGATTGTTTGCTTTATGAATGTGAGAATTCTAGTACAGTATAGTGGGTAAATTTAGTAGAGGTTTGATTTGACAATTTGGCAGGTCCACATCTAGATTGTCAAAATTTAAATCACTGAAGTTTAAAATATCAATGTCCCCAACTCGTCCATCTTCAGCAGTTACATGTTCAGTTTTTTGCTGACAAGAGAACAACTCCTCGATAGAATGTCAGATTCCATTGGTAGGTGTTTCGCATTGGGAGTCCAAATATACCCAAGAAATAAGTGGTTGAGAGCAGGTATAGTGAGCAGCTTGATACAGGAGTATACTATACATTACAGTAAAGACCCAGTGCCACTCGACATTGACTGGGAACTATGGGAACATTGACAATGGGAACTATGGGAACATTGACGATGGGAAGTATGGGAACATTGACAATGGGAACTATGGGAACATTGACAATGGCAACAATCTATTTGCCAAATTATACGACCTCCATCAGTGCCTGAATCTGCTGTAAAAGAAATCCATATTACATGTTATAGTAGGCCTAGCTTTTTCAGTAACCTGTGCTCATATATAGCCATGATGTTTGTAGATTTTACTAATAGTGTATATGTTACACGGGAGCATGTACCGCCTTTCCAGCAATAGCTGTAGGGGATTTTATTTGTACATAAATGCTTAAGTGCAGGAAAATGTGTTCTCCAATAACGTGAAAGTAAAGCTATGCAATGATTATATTGTTTAATTACAGATATACCACAATTTTATCCAGACCTGACACTTAGTATACCACAAGTGTTTTTACCACAAGTGTCTTTATCCAGACCTGTTTTATATGTTATAGGAGTACAAAACATTCATAGAATCATAATGAGGAAATGACAAATAGGTTCAGTGTGTGTTTTCATGTTATCAACAAGTGCCTTCGAGTTTATATGTATTATATACCTGAAATAACAAAGAGTGGAGGGGAGATCTTAATCAGTGAGATATAAATAGCATCAAGGTTGGTTTGGGTTTATCTGCGAAGATGTTTTATGTACCATAAAAATCCATGTAATTTGCGCACTTTTTTTTCAGAAATTTAATACCCAAAGTGGGGGGTGCGTAAAATACACAGGTATAAGCAATTTCAAGTTTTTTTCATGAAAAGATCGACGATTCTGGCAGACCGCCATCTTGGACACGAGATAATCTCCCTTGGTACACGGAACTCAAAGACAAACAATGATCAACACATTTATTTATGTCAAACATCAATAAAAGATACAATTGATATATACGCACACGTGTGTTATGTTTACATTAAATCAGATAATCAAAAGAAAACAAACAACAAAATACACATTTTACGTAGTTTCTTCTTGGTTTATAATATCGACAAAAAATCATAAGAAATATATTTAACAAAAAAATAATTAGAGATCGATTTTTGGAGCATGAACATCGTTTTTTCCCCAATTTTTTTGGGTGCGCAAAATATTCCAGTAGAAGCTTTTTTCCAGATTTACAGCCTCAAAAAGTACCTGCGCAAATTTCATAGGTGCGCAAATTACATGGGTTTTTACGGTAGGTGTAATAGATCTTATATTGTATTTAATGACCTGTATATTGATCACACAATTATAATTTATAAAGTACCTTGTACTGTGATTCTATATTGTTGAAGTTTTATGTGAAGATAACAATAAAAACTTTAGAAAATAACGTTCAGATTGGTTAATAGGACGTTAAACAAAATCAAACAAACAAACAAACAAAGGTATAGAGTGATCAGTCTTGTGAGGCACGGTAGTCTAGTACTGTTCAGATTGGTATAGAGTCATCAGTCTTGTGAGGTACGGTAGTCTAGTACTGTTCAGACTGGTATAGAGTCATCAGTCTTGTGAGGCACGGTAGTCTAGTAGGTTTAAGTCACGTCACGGCACTGTGTTGTATCTTTGAACAAGATACTTAACTCTGCTTATTCCAGTCTAATCAGCTGTAAATGAGTACGTGGTTGGACAGTGCTAGATTGTTGAATGCTAGTTGTGAGTGCCAAAATGGCAGCACCGGCTGTATGCTCCCCAGGGAGTTGAAAAAGATATTGGCTGGTTGCAAAAGCCCTATTAACCCGGATTATAATTTGTGAACCGCTTTGAGACGACCTACGAACTAGGTTGTGATAAAGCAGTATATAAGAACCTAAAATTATAATTATGTCTTTCTACATCAATTGGTATATAGTGTCACCTGGTGGATCAGTCATGTGCCTCTACATCAATTGGTATATAGTGTCACTTGGTGGATCAGTCATGGGTCTCTACATCAATTGGTATATAGTGTCAACTGGTGACAGTCATTTGTCTCTACATCAATTGGTATATAGTGTCGCTTGGTGGATCAGTCATGTGTCTCTACATCCATTGGTATATAGTGTCAACTGGTGACAGTCATTTGTCTCTACATCAATTGGTATATAGTGTCAACTGGTGACAGTCATTTGTCTCTACATCAATTGGTATATAGTGTCACTTGGTGGATCAGTCATGTGTCTATACATCAATTGGTATATAGTGTCACCTGGTGGATCAGTCATGTGTCTCTACATCAATTGGGATATAGTGTCACCTGGTGACACAGTCATGTGTCTCTACATCAAGTGGTATATAGTGTCACCTGGTGACAGTCATGTGTCTCTACATCAATTGGTATATAGTGTCACCTGGTGACACAGTCATGTGTCTCTACATCAAGTGGTATATAGTGTCACCTGGTGGATCAGTCATGTGTCTCTACATCAATTGGTATATAGTGTCACTTGGTGGATCAGTCATGTGTCTCTACATCAAGTGGTATATAGTGTCACCTGGTGACAGTCATGTGTCTCTACATCAATTGGTATATAGTGTCACCTGGTGGATCAGTCATGAATCGCCATCAATCAAAACTAATTACTTTAAAAGTAATACCATGAAACAGATGTGATAGGTTAGACGAGTGTTATATGTACTATTAGTATGTCTGCTGACGGTTTAGTCGGTGTAGTTAGGGCAGTGTAAATGTGAGGTATACACCTAAGCAGATTGATCCACTATATTGTTGGCTCATCAGGATGGTTGTGAAATTGTTACATTGACAATCTTCTGATATATTACATATTTAGAAATACTTATAACTATCATGTAGGGATGTTTGTGTGTTATGTAGGTAGTATGATGTGTAGACTATCACTAGTGTATTATATGTAAAAGTTTTTATAAAGGTAATATAAAGTCAAATATATTTATATAACTACCAGCTAGATGGTGTATTCTGTATAACATTTTATTAGCTCACCTGGCATGAAGTGCCTTAGAGTTGATGGTATGGTGCAGCATCTATCATCTGCCTGTCTGTCCGTTAACTTAGAGGCCACCTGAGATAAGCTCCATGACTGCTTTTGATCAATATAAGTCTTTTGTTATCTATTGTCTGTTAACAACAAACAGTAGTAAATGTTACCCCCTCCCAAAAGGGGGGATGGATGACCTGGTGGGGTAATACAAATTTAAGTAAGATAAAGCAGTGCAAATATTTTTCTTGGATATTGTGTTAAGGTCAAAGGTCAACTTCTGAGTGCTGGCCAGGGTCAAATTTCAACATGGGACTATATGGGTAAAAAGTTTTCAGACCCAGGGTTTGATATTTACACAGTAGGTACATGTACATATGATGATGTGCTATAATATTTCCTCATGCTTATGACCTTGAGTTACTTTCAAGGTCATGGAGGTCCTTCGGACATAACTTGGAAACGGTTTAGATCCCGACCCTAAAACTATATATCTGCTTAAAATGACTAGACATGAGGAGATGAGCCTAGTCTGCTACCAGGATTGGCCTGGTGTTCAACCCTGCCCCGGGGACTCAGTCCTTGTATCATTTCTAGGACTGCTTGATAGACATAAGGAGAAAAGCATAGGATTGTTGTGGTCTGGTCCTGCCCCTTGGGACTTAGTCCCATGGTCATGCTATGGACACATTTGATATCTTAACCCCATAAGGTTATAATTGGATGTCGCAATCAAACTTTCTTTGAGATTCCATTGGACGGTCCGTTCATATGGAAATATTTCATATACTAATTTTAATGCAAATATTTGTTCATGGTGCTTAAAAATCCAGGTGGCCAATACAGGCCCTCTGAGCCTTGTGTTTAAAAAAAGAAAACATTGTAATAATTATAACTACCAGGTAGTGTATGACATAGTGTTATATTTATATACTACAAAAGTAGAATGACTGAAGTGTTATAACACAGTAGCAAATCTGAGTGACTCAGAACTGGATCATAGGATGTGCTGTACATTGTTTAACAGTAAGTATTCTCAAAATTGTGTCAAATGGTTTTCCCATTGTGTTCTCTCGATTTTATTAACTTTTCTTACACAACAGAAATATGCACAACCTGTGTTTATTCACCATAAAAAAAAACATTTAAAATAAAAAAATCAAGTGTTTAACTTGAAATTTCAAATTTTTCTTTTTTAATATTCTGTGAGTTTTGTTGAACTAAGCTAGAGATCTAATTTTGAGTCATCAGCAAATCTTCATCTTTATTTTACCAAATTTGACTAAAAAAATAATCAATTAAATGAAAAGTGAAGATCTTTTCTTTCGATAATGAAAGAAATTCAATAATAATTTGTGTTTTTCTGGGGCATCATAATACTCGGGTTACTCCCACATATACAGGTAAACTGTTTAAAAAAAATGGTACACATACATGTATGAAGTGACTTAATGTGTACACATGTATGTAGGGACTTAATGTGTACATATGTATGTATATGTAGGGACTTAATGTGTACATATGTATGTATATGTAGGGACTTAATGTGTACATATGTATGTATATGTAGGGACTTAATGTGTACACATACATGTATGTAGGGATTTAATGTGCACACATACATGTATGTAGGGATTTAATGTGTACACATACATGTATGTAGGGACTTAATGTGCACACATACATGTATGTAGGGACTTAATGTGTACACATACATGTATATGTAGGGACTTAATGTGTACACATACATGTATGTAGGGACTTAACGTGTACACATACACGTATGTAGGGACTTAATGGGCACACATACATGTATGTAGGGACTTAATGTGTACACATACATGTATATGTAGGGACTTAATGTGTACATATACATGTATTTAGGGGCTTAATGTGTACACATACATGTAT